GGATTCTTGGTAATCTGAAGCTAATGTAGATTCTGTTTAAATAGTGATTTATATTTATTATTTGTATTTATATGATATATATATAATTATATATAACATATATTTTATACATATAATTAGTTTTTCCTATAGAATGTGTGTATGTTCACCAGCAAGAGAGAGAGAGAGAGAAAGAGAGAGAAAGAGAGAGATCTTCAGCATGCATGCCCATGTGCCCTGAGTGAGTTTGAAGTCGCTGGGTCTGTGACTAGAACTACAGTCGACTATATGGGAGTCCAGTTATGTAATAATCATGAAGCCATCTACGGGTCCCGCCTGACTTGATTTTCAAGCTGCAGGGTCTGGGACTTGAACTGCAGAGTCAGTCATGTGGGCTCCAGCTGCCTTAACCTCCACACCACCTGTTGGCCCACAAAAAAATATTTTAAGATGGGAAGATTATTTTGGATTATCAGGGTGGGCTTTAAATGCAAATCCATGTATCCTATTGACTATAGACAAGGAGAAGATAGCGTGACTAAGCCAGAGGTTGGTGATACAATCATCAGAAGCTGAAAGCTTGAACATTCTCTCCTAGAGTCTTCAGAGGGAGAGCAGTCCAGTTCAACCCTTGATTTCAGTTGAGTGAAATTTATTTGGGACTTCTGGCCTCCAGAACTGAGAGAATGAATTTCTGTTGTTTTAAGCCACAACTCTGTGGTAATATGTCCAAGCTGCCATAGGAAACTAAACACATATAGCACTAAGATGACTACATTAAAAGGTTTTAGAACTATCAAATTCATTTAAATCTCTCCTTGTAGTATCACTTTATTTCAGAATGTTTATGACTTCCAGAGAAACAAGATAACCAGATTACAACCAAAATATGAACAATGGCTATAACAACCAAAACCTTTATTAGTCTTCTGTCTGCTGTCTCATTTTTAAAGTTTCTAGAAAGCTGAGGAAAAGTGGAGGTGGCACTTTTAGTTGTCCCAGAGTTAAACTGTCAATAATTGAGCTAATGTTCTTAGTTGAAGGCTTTAGATACCTGAGTTTTATTCATGTGGAAAGTCTTCCTAACATATCAGACAGTATAACCTTCAGAGGAAGATAAAATCATTTTATTCAGATCACTCAAGAAATTGCTGTGAATTTTCCCAGACTTTCTTTCCTTCCTAATAAAATATATGATT